GCACATCATTAATATGTATCTATCAGATTTTGTAATTGAATGAAATCATAGAAATGATACATATGATTTAATACAGTTTGTTTGAATTAGTAGTTGAATTTTCAATGTGCGACATATATCATTTTTTTGGAATGGTTTTTGATAGAATATGTCTCCAAACTTCCCCATTGTGTGTCATTGGGGAAGAAATATAATCGAGGAGTCGAACGGAATTCATTATGACGGGGGGAGTAGGAATATAATAGTTGTTTCACGTGGGGTGGGTGTGACTGAGCTAATGAATAAAATTTATACCGCCACATCCATGAATCGTATGAACAAGTTGGATTTGAAAGTTAAATATCCCGTTCATGGTGGGTCATACATGTTGGTGCCTCTTGCTGACGACGAAGCCGTTACGGGGATGTGGACCTTGATCACGAATCTTGCTATGCATACAATGGAGATATATGTTGAAGAAGCGACTGTGTTGGCCATACAACCTGACAACCTGTCTTATCTTACCCATCCATGAGTGTTCCAGTTGTGATGAATATGGTTGCACAGGAGAATGGAAGATACGTGAACAGTGATTCAACATTTCTGGATTCACAGCACATCGACGAAGATGCAGATGAAAATCTGAATCATGACACACTAATTACTTGTCATGGGAATAAAAACCATGACAATCATATTTTGGAATTTTGAAATTGTTTTAGTCCTATTTCGGGAACTTTCCCTTTAATTTATCACTAACTCAATTATTAATTTTTGATGATTTTTTCTCAGAAACGTTTATTAGTTGAATAAATTTTAAAAAAAAATAAAATGATAATATTTTTTAAAAGTTTCTCAGAAGTTTAGTTTTTAAATTTTGTAAAAACTTTTTTAAAAAAAAATAAAAGAAGTTTTAAAATTGATAGTTTACTAATCAAAATCGCGGCCCAAGTTTTTACAATATGACAAGGTTTGTGGGACGGATGTAGTAATAAAAAATTGATATTGTAATTAAGTTGACTTTACAAATCAATTTGAATCGTACGGTGTGATATATCACCAGACCGGGGGTAGTCGGAATCCAAACAGAATGAGAGAGCGAACTAATCGAAAAATACAGATAGACAATCCGGTAGTATAACAGTAAGAGAATAGAGAATGCGATCCCTTTCCACAAGCTGGAAGGTGATATTTATACTAAGAGATAAAAGGCAATACTTGGTGCCCAAGTAAAAAGATGTTGATCAAATAGGAAGGAGACATGTGTAAAGTTATTCTAACAAACTATCAGCCTAATTCGATGGGGAGTAGCCACGTGTAAAGGTGACAAGCACTTTGTCGTAGTGTGCCTCAAATTAAATTCACTACTAAGGATTAATACCGTAGTATAGCGTAGTAGAGTTCGTATCCACAGGGAAAGGAGCTTTTCGCGTATGTGTAAGCGTAATAAATAAAAGTAAACGGAAGGGGGAATTGAATATTTTGATAATTGAGAAAGCAAATAAAATACTTAAATGAGTGAAATAAAATATCAAAGGTAATTAGTCTTGGTTTTGCTTTTATCCACTTAATGAAATGTTCGTCGATCCCGGTTATATCTTTAACTATCTTCCTCTCGAATACTCAATCGAGGAGTATATCCAGTTCATCGAGGGTAGTTATTAATAACGAGACGCGTCATTAATAAAACTTACTACCGAATTAATATAGAACACGCGTCGTATATTTACTCGATAGTAACAATAAATTCAAGATGAAAACGATTGAAATTGATAACCTCAACACAAGCGGTTTATTGGTTTAATCAATATAATTAATCCCCTTTAGATTATTAACGCATGCATTAATAATCCAAGTTTTACTACCGTTGAAAGAACCGAATTAATAACAAACGTATTAATCGATTGATTCTAGTAATAATTAATATATGAAACAAAACTAGTTGATCCTTTAAGTAATGCTCAAAATATTAATATGGAATATGAATAGGAAATAATTAATATTCAAGGAAGAAGATTAAAGAAAATAACTCACAACTTACAAATTCATTAAGCTTCAAAGTAACAAAACCAAGATTGAAAGACTACCTAAATTACAAGAATAAAGTGTATATGAAAGAGGGGATTAAATTGGTCTCTAAATTAGGAAGGAAAGAGGTGTTTTTATAGGAGAAGTGAGGTGGTTGGGTCTAATACATAATCTGATTTTCCCATGTTCACTTGTTTTATTTGATCTCTTATGATCTCCGGGTCAAATCATATCCGATTTTTCACACATCTTTGTCCTCCATGAAGCATCCTCTTGTCTCCAATGCTCCTTCCTTATGCTCCCAAGCTCCTTCCTCTTCTTTTCATCATGTTTTTTCTTACATGTCAAAATATCTTAATATCTTCTAATTCTTCTTTAATTTTAGAAGATAAAGATTACACCGTAATTGTACAAAAGCTAAGTAAACATAATGTAAAACCATTCTAAAATGTGGTGGTTATGTACTTCTAAATAGTACGCATCAAAAGGTGATTGGAGAGAGAGTCTTGGACAGCAACTGATTGGAATCGTCTAACAAACTGCTACCAGAATACCCTGGGGTTAAGCGTGTACATTCTGGCATATTATCCGCTGCTGGGGATGACATGGCAGTACCTCCTTGCGATGTTGGTCCTTGCGGATTTGTCTAAGTACATAATGCTTTGGCCTGACCTTGAGCTCTATCGGGGTCAGTGACTGGAGACTCGGGCTCATCGCGAGGGGATTTGCCACCTGTCTCTTGTTCTGGCTCTGCGGTGCTTGACACTTGACTTTGGTTGCCCGACCTCGAGGTCAGGATCGGATGACTTTTTGGTCAGGATCGGATGACTTTTTGGTCCTTGGTCCTTTCGCTGTCTGGCGCTCCTTCCTGACCTTGGTTGGTCGGGGTCGGTCCGATTGTGGACTTGGTCTTTTCACGCACTCCGATGTGGCTCCGTAATGCTTTCTCACCGGCAATTATGATACCCCTGGGGTATACGGGAATATACTCTGTCACGGTGTATTAGTATTAATTTAGTAATATTTAAATTATTTAAAGTAAAAAAATTATGATATTTTAGGTCTTGGACTTATAGTCTTCATTCATTCAATCCCTATATTGACACACTTTATCTTTTTGGTCCTTGTTGATAATAAACTTATCTTCGGGTCTTGTATTGATAACATTCATTTTTTCATAATAAAGTGTATAAAATTATTTGTATTTGACTTTTAGAAGCAGAAATTTTCGAAACATGAAGTATTTTGTGGATGGAGCGACTTCTATAGTGGAATCTGTTAAAATTTTGTGATAGGATCCCCGGTGAATTTATTGTGAAATTTGATTGCCTTCTATAGAAATGGTTGGTAGATCATGGCCTCCGAGTGTGAAAACAGGTAACGCTTGAGTGGTGCAGCCAATTTATGTGGGGAGTCAAACCTCACGTCAACCGGGTGTAGGTAGTAGTCTGATTTATTTTGTGGGTGACGGGATTGACTTCGTGTGACCATGGGGTGTGACGTCCATCCCACCTCGTAAAATAGTGGAGCTCTTTGTTTTGTGGTAGAAATTTGGACAAGGCTCTATGTTTGTTTTTTCATCTATTTACTTGTGTAAAAGCCATTTGGCCATTATTTCAGATCAGTAGCTTGAGCATCGGTACCTGAAAAAGCATGTAAAGGAATAATAATGTTGTCCTTAGATGAAATTTCATCATTGGACGAGATGGGATCAAGTGTAGTATCATGCCGAGGATCAGAAGTGATTCCATAAAAAAAAATTGGAGCCTGTGCTGAACACCCGCTATGATTAGCGCCTTTTTACAGGTAGCCACCATGGGTTGAAAAGTGCAAACCATAATTGAGGAATGTTTCCCGTCACTAGTAGTTGGACAAGCTTCAAAAATTCCACCAAGAACCACTTTTGGTGGTGTATTAGCAGAGCCATCCTTGGAGAGGGGTAGCCAAAAGTTTGACTGAAACCAAATTTTTGTTTTTCAATGCACAACCAGTTTGGTTTGGAGCAGCAGGGAATATAATTGGGGGATTAAAGCCAATAGGAGTAGCAATTACACAAGCCTCAAGTGTTTGGCTGATAACCGGTTATTGGTTATACATAGCACAAACTGACGAGGAATCAACAGAACCATTTGGGGCACTAACTGGCGCCACAAGAGTTGCAGCAATAGCCTCAGCATCAACTCTTTGGCTGATAACCAGGGATTGGTTATACATAGCACAAATAGAAAGGACATCAAGAGCATCAAAGGCTTCAACGACTTGGGCATTCACTGGACCAACAGAAGCATTTGGGACAGTAACAGGGGCATCAAAAGCTGCTGCAGAATCCTCAACATGGCCAACAACAGGTGAATCAGGAGACGATAACAATCGGGGTATCAATGTAAATCGGGAGAATCGAGAGAAAAAGTGTAGTAAACTGGAAGCTTTTCATACAACACAGGTTGAAAAAAACATAGGTTTCCATTACCAATCGAGATTTTAGAGGGTAGAGATTTAGAAACATCCATTTCAATAGAAATTCTGATAGTAGATAGTCTAGAAAAGTTTGAAGTTAGAGAATCAATAATTAGATGTCTACCCAATAGGCTAGCTATTGGGAAAAGCACTCTAACATCTTGCAGGTGAATCGGCAGGCCATCAAGGGATACCCAAACGGGAGCTAGGGGGAATCGCAATGAACATAGGAGGGGATCTACCTTGTTAGATTCATCATAAAACCAAAGAAATCCCAAGATTTTTTAATCCAAAATCGTTGAAAATCGGAGAATAGAAAATTAAGGGCCGTCATGTTTTTTCTCCTAAATAGGGCTGATTCTCATAAAATTAAGTGGCTAATCAATGGAATTCCTAAATAGGGCTGTCATGTTTTTTCTCCTAAATATGAGTAATTACTGCCATGTTTGGATAATATTGTCATGTTTAAATTCTAATACTACCAAATCATGGCGTTAATTACTCCTATTTCAGGAATAAAAACATGATACCCAGTGGTTCCGGTTAAGGTTCCAAGATTTTTGGAGCCATGGTCGGTCTTCCATTGCAATAACAACAATGGCATTCAAGAAAGAAATGTACAAACTTCTGATACATATAGTTAGATTAGAAGTAGCAAAATTGCTCAGTACAATTTAAATTACCTTTCCTAATAGGGAACTGCATACCTCATTTGATCGTGGGCAAACAAATACACCATTGGGATACGAAATACAATATATGAAATGCACTTTGCTAACTCATCGGCTTAGCCATGTTCTCATTCCCTGCCGATATATATATCCGCCGACTATACTGCAACTGCTAAGATACTACTCTACACTTGTTTGTAGAAAAGGATGTATGCCTGATCATGCAGCACCTTGCCTGCTCCAATAGTGGTGACTGTGGCATCATCAAACCGTAACCACTTCCCGTCAGGGTAGCGGGCATCAGCTGTATAGTGTCCCCTTGATGCTTCCCTCCCGTGGTGGGTTATCGTCGAAACCAATTCGTATTTCCGACTCTGCAGAATAACAGTCAATAAATCGATAAACAAACAAATGAACAATACACCTCAGGAACTTATCCTTTCTATCCTCATCATCACCGTAATTCCAACTGTGTTGGAGAATCTGCATTGTGCCTTCAGATGTACCATGAGCATGATAACTCAAAATGAGTGTTCTTCACATGTAAAATGATTTCTTATGTGTGAACATGAGAATGATATAGGTTAATTATGAATGTAGTACTCGAAAGATGAAAGATGTTGATATAGGGCCCAATGATTGATAATATCAATCTGAGACTTAAATTGTCATGAATTTTATTTTTTTATTTTCAAAATTATAAAAAAAAATAACTTTATTTAACTAATAAACTTTTGTGAAGAAAAAATCATCAAAACTTAGTAATAGAATAAAAAAATATGAAATAAATTAAAATCTATGATATTTTAGGTCTTTGATGGATATTTTTCAATCGTTCAGGCTGTATCGATAATTTGTATCTTTCGAGTTATGGATTGAAAGTTCAACTGTTTTTTAGGTCCCGGATTGATAAAATTCAAAAAAAACACAAAGAATTGGGCATTCTTCATTTCTTCCTATACAAAATGAGTAATTGTAAAAAATTACAACGCTGGATGTAAAATTACATCTGCAAGTATGATGTAAATTGCCTATGTCGTTTTTGGGTTTATATCATCTGTTAATTGTCTAACACAAGTTAATACTAAAAAACCCATATACGTTGCTTTAATTCACATAATTGCATGGGAGCAGAGTAGTCAAAAGTGCAAATGGAGATCTCCATAATTGCATGGGAGCAGAGTAGTCAAAAGCTATTTGGATGTTTTTATATTTATTTTAGAAGGCCCATATTAATTAGGCCAGAATACTGATATTTTTAAACCACAAATGACTAAGACAAACAGGTGAGACTTATCAAGAAGTGAAGAACTAATGGCTAATACCAAAGAATAAACACAGCGTAACGAAGTCGGTCTCTACAAGAGAGTTGTGCGACCAGCAATCACCTAGCGAAACACCAGGCAAGTGCGACGTATATTATACTGTATGTTATATGTACGATGTATTGTACACTGTATACTATGTATGTTATAAATATGATGCAGTTCCTTATCATCAGAAGCTATGTATATCATCCTTATCTTTGTTTCATGATTATGTGCATTACAAGCTATGTGTTATGTACGTTATATTATGTGTATAATAATATGTATGTGTTTACTGTATATTGTGCATATTTAAATATGTATTATAGTATTAGTTTGAAGTCAGTTTTATCACTTTTATGTTTTATGTTAGTTTTATAACTTTTAGGCTGATGATAATACGATTTCGAGTTTTTTTATGTTTGTCTTATGTTCGATTAATATTATTTTGCTTAGTTTGAAATTATATCTAATCAGTAAAATGAACGAGAATGAAGTTCCATTTTTATCGGAGTCAGACAAGGAAGATGAGTGTGATGACTAGACGGGAACAAGGATTGGAATGAAGGGATGACTATGACTATTAGTTAACATATCATAACGATCAAAGTTTAAATTCACTCTTTTTGCAACACATGAACTTATAATGGTTATTAAGTTGGTTTAATTAAGATTATATTAGGTACCATTTTGGTTATTTAAGTCTCTTATTGGTGTAATTAGGACTTAAGTCATACCACTATATTGCCCAAGTCATATTTATACTTCTTAGTTTTAGTGTCTCATGAGTCATGGCAACACAATAAATGCACCATCGCCATCGGCTACGGTAAACTACCCCTGCCGGCCCTGCGCCATGATGGTCGTAGTGTGCCATGACAACTTTGCATGGGAGAATGAAATGAAATTCAAACCCGTCATTTTAATAGGGCTTAATGAAATGAAATTCAAACACGTCATTTTAATAGGGGCTTTCACCTTGCATGGAATATATCATGAGTTGTGGATGAGTTGATATGGTTAACATACTCTCTTACGCATAATAAATATAAATCATGGAGGGGCACACAAATACTCTCTTGTGGATCAGAGAAAGAAAGGCACATTCCTTTCGCTAGGCTACAAAAATGCAGATACATTGTGGAGATTTATAATACATCAAAGGACCTCAAGCTTATTCAGAGACAGCAAAAGGGATAATACCTCATGAGTTGAAGCAGCAAGCAAATCACGGCTTATCACCAGGTCGAGAGGAAAGTGCACTGGTTTATGCAATTTGGTGCTTCCATGACTTCCATATATAAACCGCTTTAAGTGTAAAACCATGACCCTAGGAAGTGCTTGTATGCTAATAGATTTTCTGGCTGTCCCAATTCGAGCCTGAAATAATAAGCCATAGCAACCACTATTATTATTCCAAAAGAGAGAGTGCACCATAAACATGTAATGAAAGAAAAAAGCCCTTCCACAAGGGCAAGTTTGGCTGCTTCCAGGCACAATTTTGTCCCAGCACATGCCCTAAACTTTGTGAATGATACTCTTCTCCATAGAAAAATCCATGTTTCAAAAAAAGAGGTTAATTTTTATTGAGTTGAATATATTTTTACATAATTGTATTCCAGAAAGTTAACTACGCTAAATAAAGTTCAACATCATTTTCATTTTCATTTACCCCAGTGCCGCAAAGGCTCCCACCTACGGTGGGGTAAGGGGGGTCGGATGTACGCAGTCTTACCCCTGCACAGAGAGACTGTTTCCGGATAACCCATAGTGAAATCGCGTCCAAAATTGCATGGACTACGTGCTGCTCCATAAGCTAAATAAAGTTCAACAAAAAATAAAATTAAAAATATACTGTCCTCCGTATCACATTAATTGCAACATTGGAATATATACACTATTCATGTACTTTACTTTGACTACATTTTATTTATTAATGTATGTGAATTATTTTTTTTGAAAAATATTGTTAAATTCGTCTCATTACTAAGTTTTATAATCTGATTTTTATTTTATTTTTACTAATACAGAATTAAATATAATGACGGTCAAAGTTGTGCGTTGGCAAACGTGAAATGTTGACTGTTGCAACTAAAAAGAGGCGGAGGAAGTAAGTAGGATGGATGATTAACAAAAATTCTACCTTACCACAATCAAAAGGTTACACCTTGAAGAAAGCGGACTTTTTTGGGAGAGAATGTTAAAGACTCGAGGCAGCCAAATAAGGATGACAAATATTTTGGAAGAGTATACTCTCGAAGGAAGTAAAAGAAGAGTAATTGTTAGTTATACTCTAATAAATGTAGGCGGTTGTATTACTTACTATAAATAGAATAGTCTGGTGAAAAGAAGGCAGGCTGTTTAGACTCATTTGGTCTGGGACTGGGAAGTTGGAGTATTATCTCCTTCTTTGGGACCTTGTACTCTGTTTTCCGTCATTAATGGAGGTTTACTGTTTCCTGTGAATTGTTTTCCCTTATTCTGTGATTGTTATTCGTGTGGAGTTCTAACAGTGGTATCAGAGCACGACGATCTCTGGATGAGACAAACTCGTGCTAAGATGGACGGAAGAATGACAGAAGTTGAGAGGAACATGACGGATATGGCCAGAAACCAGAGAGAATCAGCGGCGAGGCAGGATACATTAGAAACGATGATGGTCGCTATGCAGGCGAGTCTCGTTGATATTCAGAACCGACTTCCTGGTCATGCGCGAAGTAGATCGCAGGCATCTTCAGCCTCGCATCGGACTTCTCATCATCAACGTTCGCGAAATTCAGTACATGATGATGAATCGGAGGAACAGTCTGATCATTCTCCACACCGCAATCATCGTCCTCACAGGGAACACAACACACATCACCGGACAGGAAGGAAGATCGACTTACCATTATTTAACGGAGATGATGCTTACGGCTGGCTGGTTCGCATCGATCGATATTTCCGTCTTAATCAGATCGAAGATGAGGAAAAGGTAAATGTCGCAGTTGTGGCGATGGAGGATCGTGCACTGAGTTGGTTTCAATGGTGGGAGAACCAGACGAGGGAAAGGAATTGGGATACTATGAAGGAAGCGCTGACTCGAAGATTCCAGCCAGAGTTAGTACATAATCCTTTGGGGCCTCTGTTAGGTCTGAAGCAAAAGGGAACTGTGCAGGAGTTTCGTGAGCAATTTGAGATGGCTATTGCATCGCAGGGTGATTTAAGCAGGAAGGTGACCAGAGGTATTTTTCTGAATGGCTTGAAGAAGGACATTAGAGCTGAATTGAAACTGTAGAATACCAGAGATTTGGCAGAACTGATGGACACAGCCCTATTGATTGAGAATAAGAATATGGAGGTGATGTCAAGAAGAAATAAGGAAGAAGGGAAGAAGTATGGGAAGAGCAGTAATTCTGGCAAATCAAGTTACAATCATTGGGGAGATGGCAGTAGAAAGGGGTATCATCGGACTGAGATCAAAAAGCAAGAAGAAGGGACTAATTCTGTATCTAAGAAATTAGGTCCTAGATTGACACAGAATGAGCTGTTGGAAAGGAGTAAGAAGGGGCTTTGCTTCAAATGTGGGGATAGATGGAGCAGGGGCCATGTTTGCAGTATGAAAAACTTTAAAATGATGTTGGTTGAACAATCTGAGGGAGAAGAAGATTCTGACATGACTTCTAGTGAAGAAGAAGAGGGTGAAGCAACAACAATGGAAGCTAGAACTCTGAAATTATCTGTCCTGAGTCAAGAAGGGATCCCATCCATGAAAATTTTCAAGGTTTTGGGAAACATCAGATGGGGAAATCATCAGCAGCAAGTGAATATTCTGATTGATTGTGGGGCCACTCACAATTTCATTTCTCAAAGATTGGTGAACACATGGCAGATACCTTATAGGTGTATTAAAGGCTACAAGGTGCAGATAGGGAATGGGGAATTTCTTCCCAACAATGGCAGATGTGAAGAGGTAGCTTTGGAGATACAAGGTAACCAGATTGTACAGCCATTCTACATTCTGGATTTGGGTGGAGTAGATTTGGTGTTGGGAATGGAGTGGTTAACAGATCTTGGGGATATGGAAGTCAACTTCCAGAATCAAATTCTTAAATGGAGAAGACAGGACCAGCTGCATACTATCAAGGGAGATGTAGCATTGAATCAGATGGAAGTTTCATTGAAGTCTATCACTCACATTTTGCAGAATACAGGAGATGGCTATTTATTGTTTTGTGAAGGTAAAGAGCAGGGTTCTCAGCCCAGTCTTGAAGAGGAGGAAACCTGGAACAAGGTAATTGGTGAGTTTCCTGAAGTCTTCAAATCAGTGTTGGATCTGCCTCCAGAAAGGGCATGTGACCATGCTATAAACATCATAGAGGGAGCCAGTATACCTAATCTGCGGCCTTACAGGTATACTTATGATCAAAAGAATGAAATTGAAAAGATTATACAAGAAATGCTTTCTTCTTGGATTATCAAACACAGTAACAGTCCTTACAGCAGCCCCATACTATTAGCCAAGAAAAAAGACGGTGGGTGGAGATTCTGTGGTGATTATCGGGCCCTAAATAAGGTGACTATTCCAGATAAGTTTCCTATACCAGTTATAGAAGAACTTTTAGATGAGTTAGGAGGAGCTAAAGTGTTCTCAAAACTGGATTTGAAATCTGGATATCACCAGATAAGAATGAAGAAAGATGATGCCCATAAAACAGCCTTTAGAACCCATGAGGGACATTATGAGTATGTTGTAATGCCTTTTGGGCTAACAAATGCTCCCTCAACTTTTCAAGCATTGATGAATGAAGTTCTTAGGCCTTTCTTAAGAAGGTTTGCTCTAGTTTTCTTTAATGACATTTTGGTTTATAGTAAATCAAAAGAGGATCATATAGAGCATCTAAGAAAAGTGTTGACAGCCTTGCAAGAAAATAAACTGGTGGCCAATCGGAAGAAATGTTCATTTGGTCAGAATCAGTTGTCATATTTGGGTCATATAATTTCAGGAGAAGGAGTATCTGCTGACCCAAGTAAGATAGAAGCTATGGTAAGCTGGACAGAACCTCAAGATATCAAAGGGCTGAGAGGATTTCTGGGTTTGACTGGTTATTATAGACGGTTTGTAAAGGGGTATAGCAGAATTGCAGCTCCTTTAACCAATCTGTTGAAGAAGGATAGTTACAAGTGGGACACTGAGGCTAGCAAGGCTTTTATCCAGTTAAAAGAAGCTATGACTACTTTACCTGTTCTTGCCACTCCAGACTTTAATAAGAAGTTCATCATTGAAACAGATGCTTCTGGAAAAGGGTTAGGTGCAGTACTCATGCAGGATGGAAAACCTATTGCATTTATGAGTAAGGAACTCTCTCCTAAGCATCAAAGTAAGTCTGTGTATGAAAAAGAACTCATGGCTGTGGTTCTGGCTGTTCAAAAATGGAGACCATACCTACTTGGGAGAACGTTTGAGGTCCATTCAGATCAGAGAAGCCTTAAATACCTGACTGAGCAAAAGATTATGGGGACTGAGCAACAGAAATGGATCACTAAACTGCTCGGTTACAATTTTTCCATTAAATACAAACCGGGCATAGAAAATAAAGCAGCTGATGCTTTATCTAGAAAGCCTGCTTTATTATCCTTATCAGTAGTTTCATGTCAGGAGTGGGTTGGATTGGAAGAAGAACTACAGGAGGATTCAAAGTGTAAGGACATTCTGCAGAAGCTTTCAACTCAACCAGAGTTAATGAAGGATTACCAGATCAAAGGAGGAATATTGTTTTACAAGGGGAAGTTGGTATTACCTAGAGGATCTAGCAGAATACCTAGAATCCTCAAGGAATACCATGAAACGGCTATGGGAGGACATTCTGGATATTTCAGAACTATGAAGAGAATTTCAAACTTATTCTACTGGGCTGGAATGAGAGCTGACATAAAAGATTATGTTCAGGGGTGTGATACATGCCAAAGGAACAAATACCAGACATTGAAGCCTGCAGGTTTACTTCAGCCACTACCCATCCCAAATCATATCTGGACTGATATTAGTATGGACTTTATTGGAGGGTTGCCTAAATCTATGGGAAAGGATACCATCTTGGTGGTTGTGGATAGGATGACCAAATTTGCTCATTTTTTGCCTTTGGCTCATCCTTATAATGCAAAAGGGGTTGCAGAAATTTTTATACAGGAGGTGGTGAAGATACATGGGTTCCCTAAATCCATTGTAAGTGACCGGGATAGTATATTTTTGAGAACATTTTGGTCTGAACTGTTTAAATCATCTGGCACAACATTGAAGTACAGCACTGCCTACCATCCTCAAAGTGATGGGCAGACTGAGGTGGTGAATAAGTGCTTAGAGACATATTTGAGGTGTATGACTGGCAGAAAACCAAGAC